GGTTAGACTTTTTTCAATTAGGTAAATCGATATGCTTATCTTGATTTTTTCATTTTTTAAAAATAATTTTTTAAAAAAAATAAGAGTGTACAGCCATAAAAATGGGGCTGTAAGATTTTACATGTTACAACAAAAGAAATTTAAAAAAAAAATTAAAGAGGCTGTAGCTTATAGAATTAAAGCAAAAACATGATTGGTAACAAAGGATGTAGGTTTGAAACTTAAAGAATTAAAGCTACAACATGATTGGTAACATAATGATGCTTTAAGAAAAATTAAGACTGAAGACAAGGCTTAAAGATTGGTTCCAATCATGCACATAGTTTCATAATGTTTTTTTTTAAAGAAAGAAAAAATCAATAACAAAATGTTAACTATTTAGCACCATTTCCGTATGACAGTCTTAATGTTATTGATTTGCTTCGGCTTTAAACCATTCAAATATTATAAAAAAATTTCTAAAATATTATAAAATCAAAAGTTAAAATATAAACAGTGCTTTACATAGTAACATTGATTTTTTTTTTCAATTTAAGCTTGAATTCCAATAAAGACAACGAACAAGTTGAAAAAATATCAGCTTAATCTCACAAAGAAAAAACATGGGAATTTTGGTTGTATAACACACAAAAATGATACCTAAAAATCTAACCAAACCCCTTATATGTGGCTAAATCTCACCCATTAGATTTAGGGTTTTTGGCTAGGTTTTTAATTATAATTTTTCTTTTTTGTTATACTACAAATTGACCCAAGAAACATCCACTGAAAGCATACTAACGTGAATAATTAATTGTAGTTTGCAAATAAAAAAAAAGTCTCTAAATTGGTCATATACTAGAATGACATTTTCTTGGCCGGTGATAATACCTATGATCCATTGTGGTTGTTAAACAAATCAAATCAACAAACATAACAACTGATCCTTACGTACCAAATTAAAGTAATTAATATAGTGGTGATTCATATGATGTTTTTTAATAGTTTATGTATTTATATGTATATATTTCGAGTATAAACACGAACCAGAACAATATAATATTGCATGCCCGAAATTTTGAGGTTTTTAACGCATTTACAAGTTGAAAAGATATAAAACTACAATACGTCATGTCATCGCATACGTATGATCCATCTTATGGTTTATGAACTTTCATAGGTATAATTTTTTCTTGGTTTAATTTCATAGGTATTATTAATGTACTCAAAATCGTATCCCATTTTCCTTAAAGTAAGCGAGAAAGTAAAGTAAAATGATTTATGACAATATGATATGATTCATGGAGCATGACTGGAGCTGAAGTAAAAAGAGTAGCTCATACC